AATATAATATACTTTATAAGAATATCGATATAAATCTAGATAATATCGCACAACTACCTGAAGATGATATACCAGAATCTATAATGACAACAATGGAACAGATATTAAATGATAAGGAAGTACCATCTGAAAGAGCTGGATATATTCCTGGTCCATTATCTAACTCAACAGAATTGAATATCTCAAATGTCATTCCTGTTAATAACAGGAAGGAACAGCTAGAAAATAAGATTTTTTAAGAACTTTTTCTACTTAATAGTGCAGTTCTCGACGTGAATGGTTCGTCAATATCTTCCGAAAAAATAAATAATTATCTTCTAAAGAAAATTAAAAACGATGGAACAAATGATGAAATGGGTGTTGAAAATATCTACTTGATTCCTCATTCTTCCAAACCTGCCAATGAGTATTTCAATCGAAAACTATTAGTAGGCCTCTATCCAACGTTATTCTGTTATGGACTTGGTGCACCTGAAGATCAAACACGACCACTCACCATAAATTTACGAGAACATATACGTTATCTTTTATCCTACTATGATCGACGTTTCGAAAAAAATCATAGTTCTATATTTGTAGTCTTTAATTTATTGCGAAGACGTGATGCATGTTTCCATGCTCAACTTATAGCAACGAAACCTTATTTTCGATCTTCCGCTCAAGAAATTCTTTCATTGAACACTAGTGATATTGAGGCAGCTCTTAAAAACATTTCTACAAGAACATACAATAAAGGATCTAACAAGGCTTTAGGTAAACTGGTAAATCATATTAAAACCATCGGCGGTCGAGTTATGGGTTCAGCATATTCACGTACATCCTTACGTACACATCTTAATGCAATGATTTTTAATCAAAGTCTACCCAACATATTTCTCACTCTCAATCCAGCTGATATTCACAGTCCAGTAGCATTATATTTTGCAGGTGTGAAACTTGATTTGGACAACGTCCAAGCCAAACAACTTATGGACGCATACAAACGTGCCGAAATTATCGCTTCTCATCCTGTTGCTACTGCTAAATGTTTCCATATATTGATTTCTAATATCTTAAATACTATGATTCTTGGTGGTGTAATCGGTCGCGTGAAAGCATAATTTGGTACTGTTGAAAGTCAAGGACAAGGTTCACTTCATCTGCATCTCCTTATTTGGCTTGATCATGACTTAAAGCCAGTTGATATAAAGCAGAAAATTCAAGATCCAAGTTTTCGTAAAAGTTTGATAGCATATTTAGAAGATATCATCAAAGAAGATCTAGATGAATTCAAAGATAAATATGTCTTCGAGAATTTAGATGGTATAAGAGATTTCTTTAATTTCAATATCGCATTCTTCTTCTATATTGCAGCGCCAAGATCATTCAATATTCCAACACGATTATCAAGTGATAATATTTATGCAGCTTTACATACTATTGATTTAGCAGGGTTAGAAGAAAATACAAATGAAAATGATATTCGGTTGACGCCGATGAAAGACCAATCTTCTCCATCAATTCCTTATGCTTCTCCACCAAATATGCGTGGCTCTCCATCAATTCCCTATGCTTTTCCACCAAATATGCGTGGCTCTCCATCAATTCCTTATGCTTCTCCGCAACGCACCGAATTATTACAAACACCAATACACGATCAATCAATATCTAGTATGATTTAAAAAATCGTTAGTGACACACAAAATCATAATTATCATTTTAGGTATGGATGTTTCAGATATCCAGTCAAGGCTACCTCCAGCA